TTGTATGTGGTGCTGAGGATCAAACCCGGGCTGCACACATGCCAGGTGAGTGCGCTACTGCTTGAGCCACATCCCCAGCCCCTTACTTGCATATTCTTATGAGTTTTATTATTTTATTTATTTATGTCTTAGTTGTAGGACACAATACTCTTATTTTTATGTGGTGCTAAGGATTGAACCCGGTGCCTCGCACATGCCAGGCAAGTGCTCTGCTGCTGAGCCACAACCCCAGCTCTTCTCATGGGTTTTAGAAGACTTGTGTTCTTGATTCAGGAAAGAATGGTAGACCCTTTGGGATAGGAAACCAGAGAAGGTCTTCACAAGCCCCCTCTTTCTACCCGTGACTCTCTGGGGTCAAGAGGATGATACCTTCACTCTGACTTTCAACAGGCTTTGTCTTCTGTTTTAAGATTCCTTTGCTGGGGTTGTGGCTCAGTGGTAGAGTGCTCGCTTAGCACGTGTGAGGCGCTGGGTTCAATCCTCAGCATCACCTAAAAATAGATAGATAAAATAAGGTCATTGTGTCAATCTACAACTAAATAAAAGATTCCTGAAAGGACCCAGAAAGACATGTCCCTTGCCAATTTTAAGACTTTAATGTTTTGTTATCTCTGTAGACTCTACTTCCAACCTGCTCACTCCCAGAAATCCCAATGGCTTTTTGTATATTATTTAAATTTTCTTTAACCCAGAGATTGATGTTTCTGACTATTAATCCACAGGGTAAAGTGGCTGTTACAAGCAATCTCACACATTTCACCTTCTTCCCAGAATCTTCAGATAATACTTGCTTATTCAAGATGCCATTTTCTAGCATCCCCAGAAGAATATAGTCATCGCAGTCATGGATCAGATTGGTAGAATCATAGCCCAGTTCTACTTGCCCTTCTTTTAGCTGATTCCTCCTCTTTACTTTAGAGCCAGTCAGCACTTGAACTCGGTACACTGTAGCAGGCCTGTCCAAAATCACAGTCACATGGCTGCCAGCCTTAACCTCTTTGCTATAAAAGAAATTTTTATCAAAGCTGTAGGCATTCATGAGGAGAGAGTTATTGATGACATTAAGGTTGGTATAAATGGTGGCAGCAGGGTTACTGGGAAGGCCAATGTCATCATCCTCAAATTCTTTATCTTTGAGGATATTGAATTTGCCGTCAAAGGATGAGTAACTGCCCACATGCTGAAAAAGGGAGGGGGAAAATCGGATTGGTTTTTGCTGCATGCGAAGGTCACGAAAATGGGACAAAAGGTAGTCACAGGACCTTTCTTGGTAGAAGAGAAGAAGGAAACGAACAAAATAAGGGAGGTCTTTCGTGTGAAAGAGTTTTCCAATGAAGCCCAGCTGAGAGAACTCCAGAATCACCCAAAATTTCCTTTCCCAGGCAGAGAGTGTGGTGACAATCTGGGTGACAAATTCTGGGGCACATTTTACATCATCTTCAAGCATCAGGAAGTAATCAGAGTGGTTGGTAGCAAAGTTCATGAGGAAGGCGTAATCCATGTTCTGCTTGGAGCGAAAAGCTACATAGGCAGAGGTGTCATTAAAGGTTTTCTTAAGGTTCTTCAAAGGATTATAGCTTTCAGCAGGAGTATTGATCACTACTAGCTGCCTGGCCTGGATATGTTGTTTAAAGAGGATGGAGATGCTGGAGGTCATTTTATCAAGCCATTTGGAGTCAGGATCTCCCAGGTGTACCACAACAATGAAGTATTTCTGCTCACTCAAGGAAGAAGCAAAGAAGAGGGAATGCAGGGTGTCCAAGAGGTAGCTCCCTTGGGGACGCTGCACTGAGGAAATTCCTATGGTCAGCAGTTCTAGGATTGGGAGAAAAGAGGACCTTTATCAATTTAGAGAAATGTGGAAAGTAGTTGCTAGGGATGAGGTTATGATACACTCATAGATCTTCCTATAGGCCATCTTCATATGTATGTATGGTTGTTTAAGTTTTCTCTTCCCCAGAACTGAATATGAACCATATTAGGAATTACTCTCTGATCAAAGGAGAACTTTTTTAAAAATATATTTTTTTAAATCATTACCTTTCTCAAATCACATGGGAGGGAATGGATAAAGATGACATATTAAAATTTTTCTAGGAGCTTCATTCTAGAGGAAAAGACTATAGTCACCTGTTGTCTCCTGCTCCTCTCTGTTACCTGGAGTTCTTGGCTTCAGTTCTGTTCTTTCGAGCCCCAGGACTCACATCATGGACTTTCTCCTAGAAGAACTTCCACTTTATTTATTTAGACAAAAATCCCTTAAAAGTTTAGCTTGAGAACAGATTTGCCACCACCAGCCTCTTGGTGGTTATTGACTCCGTGATTCATTTGTTCAAAGGCCAAATGCTCTAATAGATCAAGTAAGATGGAGATTAGAAGGTGACCAGTGGGTACAACAATGTGGAAGCCATTGGTTACTTACCTGAACAAGAGTAATTTTAGTAAGGTGATGAGGGTAAAAAAAATGTGTGGTGTTAAAAGAGGTTTTCTCTCTTTCATCAAGATTAGAAAAATTGCCAGGTATGGTGGTGCATGCCTATAATCCCAGCAATTTGGGAAGCTGAGGCAGGAGGATTGCAAGTTCAAATCTAGCCTCAACAACTTAGCAAGGCTTTAAGCAACTTAGTGAGACCCTGTCTCTAAATAAAATATTAAAAAGGGCTGCGGATATGGCTCAGTGGTTGTGTGCCTCTGGGTTCAATCCCCAGTACCAAAAAAAAAAAAAAGATTAGAAAAATCGTAGCATGTTTATATGATATAGGAGACAAAAAAGTTGATGGCTTAGGAGCCAGGTGCAGTGGTACATGTCTATAATCCTAACAGTTTGGAAAGCTGAAGCAGAAGAACTGCAAGTTCAAAGCCAGCCTCAGCAACTTGGCAAGGCCCTAAACAACTCAGAGAGACCATGTATCAAATTTTTTTAAAAAAGTGGTGGTGGAGGGGTAAGGCTGGGGATGTGGTTCAGTGGCTGAGTGCCCCTGGGTTCAATCCCTAGTATCAAAAAAAAAAAAAAAAGGCCCAGAAAAGAGCAACTCATTGAAGTGATGTGCATGAGTAATTAAGAGGAGGTGGAATCTAGTGAAAGTGGAGAGGCTACAACTAGACAGGACCATGGACAGTCCATCTATAAGAAGAAAGGGAACTTTGCTGATGACTGACCATGAATCCTAAAGAGCACAGTGGAAAGGTATCAGAAGTCCAGGAGATAGAGTCAGGAAAGAAGGTATAGAGGAGATTGTGGGGATGAAAACTAGCCTGCGTTTCTTGTAGAAACCTATTTAAACTGGAACATGCTTTTCTTAAAATAGTCTTGAAGTACTCCCACTTCCCTCTCCATGACAATATGGATTTATTAAATGAGATGGCAAATATGAAATGTTTTGACCCATGGTTTTATTTTAGGACTGGGTCATGATAGCAACATGCATATGCAGCCTCATTCTCATCTTTTTTGGTCAAAAATTTCCATGCAGTAGAGCAAGAAGCAGGTGCAACTCTGCTATTTGAATGTTTAAGTGCCTACTCTAAAGACCTTTTTTTTTTCAGGCTTTGAGTTTCTTTCTTCAGATTTGGGACTTAAGGGCATTGGAACAGGTGGCAGTGTGATGTATTGGAAAGCTGATTATGTTCTTGGACCCAAAATGCTCTTTCTAATCCAGATTTATGTGAAATGAAGGGGTGGGGGATTATTTTACTAAACTCCTTATCCAACTCCCATGTGTTTCTAAATTGGCCCAAGACCCATAGGGAAGAGAGACATCTGGAAAAATGTTAAATGAAATCTAGCTCTCTACATTGTATGACAAAATACATACACTCAGGACATGGAAATATTGAGAAGATAGTAACAAAAAAGATGTATTGTACAAATCTTGACAAATAGAACTTACCTATTTCAAAGTTATGCATGAAATAAATCTTTAGAAATGTAAGCAGTAATAATAGATCCATAATTACACTTAGAAACATTTTACCTGTGTCAGAAATCAAGAGAATAGCCTGGTGTGGTGGCACATGCCTGTAATCACAATGGCTCGGGAGGCTGAGGCAGGAGGATTGTAAGTTCAAAGCCAGCCTCAGCAATCTAGTGAGACCCCAAGTCACTTGGTGAGACCTTGTCTCTAAATAAAATCTAAAAAAGGACTGGGGATGTGAGCTCAGTGGTTGAGTGCACCTGGGTTCAATCCCTAGTGCCAAAAAAAGAAAAAAAAAGAAAGAAAGAAAAAGAAAAGAAAAGAAAGAAAGGAAGAAAAAAGAAAGAAATCAACAGACTAAATAAAAATGAAGATCAGGAGTTTTGAATAACATAATTAAAGAAATTCATGGTTTATGTGTATGTGGTGTACTGCTTATCAGAGGATACATATATACTTTCAGATATACTTCAAAGATATTGACCATATATTAGACAACGAAGCCAATTTTATTTATAATTGTCCTGAAGATAGCAATTATATGGGTTATATTATTTGACTACAATGCAGTAAAACTGAAAGTAATCATGGAAGGCTAACCAAAAACTTCCATTTGGAAATGGAAAACCACTGTTTTAAATCTCTAGGATTGATGAAGAAATCCAAATGGAAATTACCAGTTACTAGGAAGTAAATGGTATAAAACACCAGAGACCAAAACCTGTGGGAAATGGTTTAAAGTGGGACTTAGAGGAGACATAATGGCTTTCAATGTATTTGCTGCAATGCAACCCAAAGAATAAATGAAATGAGAAACAAAGGAACTAGGGCAAAAATAAAACTAAGGGAGGCACAGTGTGGAAGTAAGAAGGTCAAAGCAGAATGTAATTAGTACAATAGATTAAAGGCTAAAGAAGAGTAATAAAAGTTGGTAGAAAAAAGATTAACTAATTTTAGAAAGAAAATACAAATAGTATTAAGAATGAAAGTACATTGTAACTGGTGAAATGAAGAATTTAAAAAATAAGTATGTGTTAGGTTTTTGTGTCCAAAATGTCCAAACCAGAACAACTTAGAGGAGGAAAAGTTTATTTCAGACTCATGGTTTCAAAGGTTTAATCAGGATCGCCGATTCCATTGCTCTAGGCCCAAGGTGAGGCAGAGGGCATATGGTGGAGGAAAGCTTCTTCCTTCATTGCAGACAGAAAGCAGAGAGACCAGGTAGGGGAGGAAGGGGCTCCAGGGAACATGAACCTGTTTAAGGCACTCCCCCTAGTGACCCACCTCCTGCAGCCACGTCCTACCTGCCTACAGTTACCACCCCATCCATTTGAACTGGGAGGGACTGATTAGTTCATAGTTATCACAATCCAATTATTTCAACTCAGAACATTTCTGCATTTAACAGAGGTGCTTTTGGGGGACATCTTATAGCCAAACCAAAACAAAGTACTAAAAAAATTAGAAAAATGGACAAAATTGATGAATTGTCATGTCACAAAAGATAAAACATAAATGATCAATAGACAATTGCTCAACTGCCTTGGTAATCAGGGAAGAACAAATTAAAACCAAAGAATTTCAGAAATTGAAAAATCTGACAATGGTAACAGATGGCGAGGATACAGAACAACGTGGATTTGTATCTTGATGGTGGGAATACAAACTGATAAGTCATTGAAAAAATTATTTTTTAGTCCAGGTCTTTCTGTGTTTCCTAGACTGGCCTTGAACTCCTGAGCTTGAGTGACCACTTGCCTCAGGTTCCTGAGCAGCTAAAAAAAATCTTTAGTATGTCAGTTTATTTAAAGCATAACTGGCAGTAGAGAGTGAACCAGTGATAACTATGGTGGGTGTACTTTTGTTTTCTTTTGGTAACCTATTTTAGGGAACAATTTGGCAAAAAAATCTAACAAAGATATGCCAATCTTGTGTTCTAGCAATTTTACTCCTAAGAATGTACCCTAGAGAATTTCTCACATGTGTTTATAAGGATTTGTGTGCAAAAATATTCGTAGCAACATTCTTAGTAGTAAATACCTAGAAGTAACCTTAGTGTTCATCAGCAGAAGAATGGGTCAAAACATTGCAATATCTTGATTATATATATAGTATAATACAAATATGATATTAAGTGAAAGAAATCTTATATAACAGGGTACTGCAAATCCTATTATATATTCTATTAATAGGATTGTAAGTGAAAAAGAAGAGAAAGGAATATCACAAAATAATACTAAATGAAAAAAGAAAGTTCTGGAAAAAACACATACAGTTTTGTTTTTAGGTACTGGGGATTAAACTCAGGGTCACTCAACCACGGAGCCACATCCCCAGCCCTATTTTATACTTTATTTAGAGACAGGTCTCACTGAGTTGCTTAGTGCCACGCTTTTGCTGAGGCTGGCTTTGAACTCGTGATCCTGTCTCAGCCTTTCAAGCCACTGAGATTTAATTTGATAATTTGGGCCTGGAGGATAACACTTTTTTTTTTATGTTGCAGGGGATTAAAACTGAGGCCTTGCACATGCTAAGCAAGCACTTTACCCCTGAGCTATATCCCCAGACCCCCTTGCTACTTTTGTGAAGTAAAAATAGGCAAAATAATATCAGTTGAGGATAATGACATATATAGTAAGATTATAGAGAAATATAAGGGAATAATAAATACCAAATTCAGCACAGTACTACCTCTAAGGGAGGGGAAAACCAGGGACTGGTGCTATACTTGGTGGTAAAGCACTTGCCTTGTAGGTGTGCAGGCCTTGGGTTTAATCCCCAGTACTCTCTCAACAACAACATAATAAAAAATAAGTTGTATTGACAGGTGAGAAATACAGAGAAGAACTTTAATCGTATAATTTTATTTTTAAACTTGGTATTCTTTTGGTGTATCTTACATATTGCATAAAATATTCAAAAATGATAAGACTACCAATTACATATCTATTACATTTGAAAATATAGCAATAATGGATGATGTTCTAGGAAAATATAAGTCATCAAATTATCAAGAATAGTGTAGAAAACCTGGATAAAATTTAAGAGTGATTAAAGTATTTTAAAAGAAAGTGAAACCAGGCATGGTGGCACATGCCTATAATCCCAGCAACTTGGGAAACTGAGGCAGGAGCATTATTATTTTGAGGCCAGCCTGGGAAATTTATCAAGACCCTATCTCAAAATAAAAATTCAAAAGGTAGTTCTGGGGGAATAACTCAATGATAGAACACCCATTAGTTAACTAACAAATGCAGCGGGGGCAGGGAGAGAAAAAAGAAATTGCATAATTTAGGTCCAGATGTTTTCATGGTAAAAATGAAATGCTTGAGAAATAAGTAGTTTGTTAAATGACCTGAAAAAATATGGAAAGTTTTTGCATTGATTCTACTATGTTCTTGGATATAAATTCTCTAGTATTGTGCCTTGTATATAGTAGATACTTACATATTTGTTGAAAGAAAGTAAAAACACAGAGAAATGCACATAGAACTATAGCCCAACATAAAGTAAAACTTTCAAATAAGATATTAAATAAATTGTATTAAGGGGGACATTAAAAGAACACATAATGATCAGGTAGCACTTATACTGGTAATGCAAGGATGGCTGTACAATGGGGTAGTAATAGATTAAAGGAGAAAAATTAGTCAATTGCCTAAATTGATTAATCAATTGATGACCCCAAAATCATCTGATGAAATTCAATACCTATTCTTGATGCAAGAATAGGTATTGAATTTCAGCAAGCTAGGATATAAGGTGATATCCATATTAAGTTTGTGGAAATAGACTAATACAAGTTCCTTTGTATAATAAATGGAAAATATGAATCACCTTTTGAAAAGGCAATCATTTTTAATTTAAAGGAAACTATGAATTGAATATTTTGGACATAAAAATATTTTTAAAATTCAGATAGTGGCTATAAAACATTTTAATCTGTACTGTTAAGAAAGTTAAATTTACAACCGTCTGATCAAAACTAAGATCTTCAGGTAATTCATAATCAGAGGTATATTAATTGACATTAAATTTTTTTCCACTCCATTTTCTATCATGCATAAGATATTTTATCTCTTTGTTTTTCTTTTACTTAGTAAAAAGAGTTAAGGACTCTGGTTAAATTGTTTAATTGTGACAGTTTCTGTCCTTATTCATCTGAAATGTGAAACTTTGTGTTTTTACAATCATCAAGGTTTGTGAGATAGTTTCAAATAATTACAGATAATAATTATGTACAGCTGAGATAAGGTGTAATGATCCTTCACAAATTATATTTACTGTTAATCCCTTTTAAATGTTTACAGAACTGGAAATGAACTTGCTCATTTAAAAATATTTAAAATTCTCTTTCTGCTATCCGTTTATGTGTCAACCTGATTAAGCTAAAGTCTCCAGTTAATCAAACACTAAGCTAGGTGTTTTGCTGTGATGGAATTTTGTAGTTGTAACTTTAAGGAAGTCAGATTTTCCTGGGTGATCTGGCTGAGCTGAACAAAGCAGGAGAAAGGCCTCAGAGCCCAGTCAAGTTTCCTTAGAAGAAATTCCTCCTGTGGACAGTAGCTTCAGCTCCTGCCCTAGTATTTCAACCTGCCCTTTTTCATGGATCTTGAAAATGTGGATCCCTTTTCCAGTGGATCTTGGAACCCTCAAAAACGGCCCACTGTATTGTTACCTCCCAACTTCTTCCTCTTGACGCAATCTCCTTTCCCCTTGTTTCCTCCAGGACTTTCCTGTCATCTCCTTATTTTATCAGAAGAGGGGATGGGAAGTTCTAGATATCTGTTCCCCTTCCTTTCCACCTACCTTGCCTCTCTATTCTTGCCTGGATGATCTACATCCCTTACAGACACTCACTTTTTTCCATGGGAAGGGCTCCAATCAAGATGTGGGATTTCACATTTTTTAGTGGTTCTGAATTTTTCTGCATATCTTTGAAGGCTTTGAGGTATTTTGTTCCATCAGATGTGATCTGCATCCGGATTCTCTGCCAACTTACCAGCTTCTTTTCCTCCTGAGGACAAAGTAAGACTCAGTTCTGTGATTCATCACTTCTGGAAATAATGGCTGGATGAATTCCCCCTTTGTACTAAGTAATGAAATAATCTCTAGGACACAGGGCTGATTTTTCAGGCTCAAGTCAAGTTTTGTTCTTTTCTTCTGGAAAAGTTCTGTGCTAAGAATTCTTATGGATCCTGGGGTAGAGAGAGTTGGGATTTCTCTACCTTTCCTGTGATATATGCAAGAAATAATCTAAGGTCATTCTTCCCCTTCGAACTATCCCTATGGTTACAGCCTAATATGGGTCATTAATTCCATGAAGGGCATAGCATGTGTTAAGTGTGAGATGCAGGAGGCCACATAATACTACCCAGTCCCCAAACTAAAGTTCTTTCTGATAGGTAACAGATAGTCATGAGCAGTAGGAACATGAAGTTAAGGGGATAATTCTATAGACTGGGCCTATGTGCTGGCCTTCCACATGTTTTCTTTTAAGAAGCAATTTATTCAAGACCATTCCAGTCCTGCTCTGGCTTAGTCAATAAGATATGTTACATTCCTTGACAAGTAACCTGTTATACTCAGGTTCAGGGCTGAGAAATTCATGTCTGAAGACCACTCTGATAATAAGAGTTTTCCTTGAAAAGGTACATTTGTGACCTTAACACAGACCAAAGATCCTAAGACTCAGGGAAACAAGAATAATTAAAAGCAAAGACCACCGACCATAAAATATACATAAACAAGTTCCAATTAGAACTGGTCAGCATGGGCCAAGATGACCAAGAATTGCCTTTAAATCTTTAGCATCTCATTTTAATCTCATTGTAATTGAATATTTTTGTTCCCTCATGGGTTTAGCTTGGGTACCTATGGGTAAAATCATGTGCAGCAGGGACTTAGAAATCAGATGCAATTCTACTGTTGGTTAAATGTTCAGAGGTGGTACCTGGGCAGGACTCTCTAGAAGCGTCCCTAACTAAGGGTGTGATGTCACTCTTTCTCTGAAATGACCAGCTGTCTCCCTTGAGAGTGCTTTCCTCTTCCTTCTAATATACTTTGCTTTATTTCTCTTGCTTGAAATTTCTTTTGCAAGAACATGAGCTAAGAGACACACATGACCCATGGTGTAACACTGCCTGTTTATTCCCCACTCTCCCTTCTCCCCTTTGCCTTTTCTGGCTTTTGGTGAATTTCTCTACTCCTTAAAATTTTTCTTGGTTTTGAGAAATGATTTAACTTCTCTGAGGTTCAGGATCTTAAAGAAGGATAAAATGGAGAAAAACGTATAACTTTGAAAACCAAGGGATATTTTCTAAAACAAGCTTATAAAACAAGGAAGAAAATTTCCATCTCATCAGTATCCACAAAAAAGGGCCAAATCTGCTGAAGCATTAAATAAATGCTATTCCTTCCCAACTCTGATTTCTTTCTATTCCAGAGTGTCATTATCCCTTATTGAATTCATTAAAGAAAAGTGAAACATTGATTCCTCAAGAATTCTTTTCTCCTTCTTTAAATGTCTGCAGTATTTGTGATAATTTCACACATTAAGATAATGTCTTTTCTTTCAATCCAAGGTTTTTGATTTGGCCCCATCTAAAGTTTCTGATACTCACCAAAGACAGGAAACTTGTAGTATCAAAGGGGTTTTCATTAATGAAACAGAAGATTGAGAAAACTACCGCTGTTGCAATAATGATGAGTCTCCTTCGGAAATTTTTCATGGCGGCCAGATTGGGAGTTTATGGAGCTATTTCTCAATCTGCAATCCTTGAATGCATTCTCAGATATCTGCAGTGTGCACACTATTGAAAAAAGTTTGCATTTGATGGTAATATGAAAAATACTCTAATTACAAAGAAAACCTTTTTCTCTTTGTAATTATAACTTACAATGGAAAGATATTATCATTAAATATAATTTTCAAAGCCATTGATTCTGAACCCGAGGTTCTTAGATACATATTCTTAAGAATCCTTAACAATTGTTCTCCTTCAAAAAGAGAACTATATATTTCTAACATTTGAGGAAGAGAGGTGTATAGAAATGCATGTTTAGTGCTCTTAATCCCACAACCAGAGCTGCCCTCCTCTTGCATGCAGGTCCAATCCTTCATTTCCCACCCTCTGAACAACACTGTTTAATTAAATTTCGTATTCTTTGCCACCTAGATGTCTTCACCTTCATACTCCCTGACCTGTTTTCTGCTGAAGGTAAGATGAAGGGCAGAAAGCTCGTTCCAATAGGAGCTTTCAGGTGCATTATGGGAAACTATTCTCGTTCATATATTTGAATTAGATTTCATTTCTTGAGAAAGTAAGGAAGATGTGGTGAGGGAAGAATGAGTGTGGAATTTATTTGAATTAGATTTCATTTCTTGAGAAAGTAAGGAAGATGTGGTGAGGAAAGAATGAGTGTGGAATTGATTTTTAATGGATGTTTATGGTAGAGGAATCATGGAAGAGACTATCGACTCCTTTGCCCTTTGACTCTCTGGAGTTAGGAAGACATTCTCTAGACTTTGCTCTTGTCTGTATCCTACATTAAGCATCATGGAATGTTCTAGAGTGAGACATCTGAAGCCTTTACTTCTCCTACCCTCAAACTCTATTCCCTCCAGAGTGTCCACTAGTCCCTCTGTTCATCCTTAATTCTTAGGTTTGATATAGATTTTGATTAGGCTCATGATGAGCCAGGAGTTCTGTGAGGTGGTAGACGTGGTAGTTGTAGGCTGTACTAATTAATTATCTTCTTTCTGATCTCTGTACAATCCTCAATGAAATCAGAACATAACTAGCTCCAAGAAAATAGTGGGTCATTTTGTCCTCTCCAAACCTGAACCTTAAGTCAGCCTCTTGTTTTTCAATTGTGATATTCCCTACTGTCCCATGGTGTTTCCTGTCCTTTCTGTATTTGTCTGTCCTTTCTATATTTCTCTAGGATTTGCTTTTCAGGGACTCTGGAATAATTTTAAGTTTTTTAAGGGCACCCTTCCTTTCAATGACCTGAAGTCTAGACCCTTTTTGGTTACGTATTCAACATTCCTGATCTTTTTCATGTCATTTTCTTCTGTCCTTCTAGATGACTCATTGAACAAAACATAGCATGGACACTTACTAAGGATCTAAGGTAGTGTATGAATGGGATTGAGTCTGTGGTCCAGGAGACAATCCCTCTTTCTAACGGAGTCTTCCAGTTCTCCAGAACTTCTGGAGAGATAATAAATAAAGAGATTAAAATGTTGGTGGCTTTCTTTTTTGTTTCAAACACAATACGTAAGCGTCCTCACCTTGGCTGGAGTTGCTGTTCCATCTGAGACTTCCTTGGGTACACTAGAACTAGGATCCACACCACTTGAGTGTTTAGACCTTTCCCCAAAGATAGGAGAAAATGTAATACTGTAGGGGCTGGGATGGGCCCAGAATATGCACATTCTGAGGCAAGACAAAGTTGGCCACCACTTTCAGATGACAACCCCTGGCAACCATTATTCTCTCTGAATGGGGTCTGTTCATCAACCCCGCCTGGCATCAAGCACCACTCCTGGGTAAGGGGAGATGGTGAGGAAGGCCTTGATATGAGCTTCCTGGGTTCTAGTCCAGGGATGTGGAATGTATCTCAGTCATATATTTCTCGAAAATATAATTAATTTTTTTTGCATTTCCCCCCTAATTGTAAATATGATACATGTTCAATGTAAACTATTAAATCAATTACAAATAAAAAAAGTAAAAATGCCCCCAAATCCCAATGGTCAGAGATCTCTTGTTAATATCTGGTTGAATATCTTGGATCACAGTGAGAAAAGTGGATTGAAATCTGACTTTATGGTAACAGAGATGAAGTCACTGAGGAGCTCTCTAAGCATCATTTGAGCGATTACCAAGTGTGGTTACTCTCAGAATGTTCAGAGAAGGGGTAAGTCTCCACAAATTGACCACTTTTACCTTTTTAAGGAAATTTCCAATTCCCTTGTATTCAGACAGGCTGTCATTTCCTCCTAAAATTCTGCATTGTGTCTCTTTATCTTGTCATCTTCTATGTCATCTTTCATAATTAATGTTCTATTTGTTTTTCTCACCTCTTACTCTCCTCCCACCATTCCTGCTCTGGATAATATACTTTGTTGCTACCTGAGGAAAAAAATGGCAATATAACATCACTTTTATAAGTCTGGGATTGCAATGTCCACTTTGAACCCTACCACCACCAAAAACAAACAAAAAACCACAAACCTAAATCTGCAATAAAAGTCAACTTTGAATTGGGGACAATATTGCTTTGGTAACATCATTTGCTCAGAATATTAGGGTACTTCCTCTCCTTTCCCTCTTCCTCTTCATTGTTTTCTCCTCCCTTCTTCATCTTCCCCTTCTTAATCCTTGTTATTCCCTTCATACAGTTATACTTCTTCTCCCTATAACTGAAGACCATGCCTAAAAAGAATGATGTAGAGAGGGATGAGCACAGACTTGGCCCCAGGAAGCTGCCTTGGGGGACTTGGTGCTCAGGCACAAGACTACTCAGTGAGCAGGGTGGCTTTGGTCTGGGGGCCAAGGATCATGGTGCCAGTTCCTGGGGGAGTACTGCAGAGGCCTCCTCTTCTATGGTGATGGTTACCTCTGTATCTCTCACCTTTTCTGCCTCTATTGCAGAATTCAATGCAGTGGCAAGCTATTTAGAAGACAGTATGGATGAAGAGTTCCAGGTATTAGAACTCCTATTGATAAGTAACATCAGGAATTCAGAGACACGGAATACAATTACCTACATTACCAAAAAAAATTTTTTTAATTATTTTTATAGTTGTATATGGACAAAATGCCTTTATTTAATTTATTTTTTATGTGGTGCTGAGGATTGAACCCAGTGCCTCATGCATGCTAGGCAAGTGCTCAGCCACTGAGCTACAGCCCCAGCCTCACTACCAAAAATTTTTATTGGAATATATTTCTTTGGTAAAAAGTGTGTGGAGGAACAGCTGCTGGAGGTTTCCTGTGTTTAAAATGGTGGTTTTCACACCATTTACAGCTCAACATCATTAATCACCAGGGAAACGCAAATCAAAACTGAAGTGAGACACTACTTCATATCCATTAGGATGGCTTTAATGAAGCAGATGGACAACAACATTTTGGTGGAGATGTGGAGAAATTGGAAATCTTCTACATTTATGGTGGGAATGTAAAATGAAACAGCACCATGGAAAACAATTGAATTGTTCTTCAAAAAGTTAAAGATAGGGTTACTATATGAACCAGCTATTTTACTCCTGGTGTATACCCAATTGAAAGTATATGTCTATTCACAAATTTGTACATAAATGCCCAAGTAGCATTATCTGAAATTATCAAAAAAATGGAAACAACTCAAATATCTATCAATTGTTAAGTGGATAAACAAAATGTGGTATTCTATACAGTAGAATATTATGTAGCAATTCAGGGAATGATGTGTTGAGTTATGTTGCAACACGGATGGACCTTGAAATCATGTTAAGTAAAAAAGCCAGAAACACAAGGCTCTATATTGTGATTCTATTTATATACAATGTCCTGAACAGGCCATCCATAAAGACAAAAAGTAGATTGATGGTTGAGAGAGGTTTGAGAGAGGGGAAAATGGGAAGTGTTTGATATTTGCCACAGGGTTTCTTTGGGTGATTAGAATGTTCTGGAATTAGATACTGGTGATAGTAGCACAATTTTGCAAATAAACTAAGAGTACTAAATTTTACACTAAAAGGATGATTTTTGTGATGTGAAAATATCTCATTTAAAAAAACTAAGGGAGAGGGTGGTGGGGTTGTAGTTTAGTGGTAGAGTGCTTGCTTAGCACATGTGAGGCACTGGGTTCTATCCTTAGCACCACACAAAAATAGATAAATAAAAGTATTGTGTCCATATACAACTAAAGAAATTTAAAAAAGAAACAAAACAAAACAGAAAACTAAGGGAGAGCCAGGTATGGTGGTGCATACTTGTAATCTCAGCTACATGTGAGCCTGAGGCAGGAGGAGGACTGAAAGTTTGACTTGGCGATTTAACGAGACCTTGTCTCAAAAAACAAACAGAGACTGACTGTGGGAAAAAAAAGAAATAAAATTATCTGATTCTCCTGGAACCACTATTTCTTCTACAGTGACCCTAGTACTTCTCCTAGAGTAGATGTTTGTCCAAGGTGATTCTGTCAGTTTACTGTGAGATAAGTCATGTTGAATGTTTCCCTTAAAAAGATCCCTTTTCCACACATATGTTGGTATATCCGCATTATAAATAAAATTACATTATAAACCATCTCTGTTCCAAATATCACAGACAGGATAACATGAATTTAATAGCTTTACATTGCTGTGACAAAATACCTGAGATAAACAACTTAAAAAAAGATGACAACATTCCTTCAGTGGAGGTTGACTAGTCCTGGGGTTAGGAAGAAGGGTTGGATGAGCATCTTCTACAAGTTAGTCCTCAATTGTCCTGCTTTGCTCCTCATAGGCACAGGATTTATGCACTGTCCTGCTTTTACCTTTGAAGACCCCAGAGTTCTAAGTTGTTTCAGATGTAGGGACAGGTTATCTGTCCCAAAGCAGAGCAGGCAAGAAGCAGGAGCTCAATTCCAACAGCTCCCATTTTTTCTCTCTCAGCCTGGCTGACTCCTATCCAGAAAAAGCCATCTGTCTAGTTCAACAGAGCTCACACCATGCCTTCTGGGATTTCTCATTATTTTCTCTGTGTCCTGGTGCTCCCCACAGGAGTTGATCTTGGGAAAGAAAGGTCAGCATCTTTGAAGGGAATATTGGGTATAGTTTTGTTTCTATGCTGTAGCTATGACATGAACCAAAATATATGGGACAGCTTCCTATATCCTATGTCCTGTGGCCTAGGAGAGTTTATATAAGTGAGACAGATGGCCAACAGGTATCTATTTATTCCTATCTTGAACTTGGCTTTGTTCTGGCTAATGGGGAAAAAGAGTAAATCAATACAAGGAATTTGTCTTGGAGACAAACAACAGGTATACAATAAAAGTAATGTGACAGCTTGATCAGAAGAGTGCTTAGCTAGGGTGAAGGGGAGGGTTATTGGAGATATGGGGAGGAGATATGTGGAAAGAGACTTTCAGGCAGAGATATCTGAAAGTTCAGTAGTCCTGAGGAAGGAATAAGTTTGGTGTATTTATAGGCAGTATCTCACAATGGTCTGCAGGTAAAGACTTGGTCCCCAGGTTGCAGTATTGGGAGGTACCATGGACCTTTAAGAATGGGGCCTAAGGGTAAGTCCTTAGGTCATTGGGGGTCTGTCTCAAAAGGTACTATGGGGTCCCAGTACTATGGGGTCTCTTTCTCTCCTCTCTCTGTTTTCTGGTTTAAGGTATGAGCACTCATTCCAACATGCACTCCTGCCATGATGTGCTATGTTTAGCAGAGGCCCAAACTAATGAAGCCACCCAATTTTGGACCTGAAACTCCAGAAACCTGACGAAATAAACCTCTTTATTTATTTATTTATTTTTTAAAGAGAGAGTGAGAGAGGAGAGTGAGAGAGAGAGAGAGAGAGAGAGTTTTTTTAATATTTATTTTTTAGTTCTCGGCGGACACAACATCTTTGTTGGTATGTGGTGCTGAGGATCGAACCCGGGCCGCACGCATGCCAGGCGAGCGCGCTACCGCTTGAGCCACATCCCCAGCCCCGTCTTTATTTATAAGTAGACTGCATCAGGTATTTAATTACAGTCATGCATTTTTACAGGTGGGTCTTAAAATTAAAATGTTAACTATAAAGGAAACAACAAATTATTTATTTGGAATTTTATTGAGATCGCATTGAACTTATACATATTTATTACTATATATGATTATACACAAAGAAAATCCTAAAGAATCTTAAACTACTAATAGTTTTGAATACTAAGTGTTTGCCTTTGCTATTAGTCTTGCTAGCATTAACAATGTCTTATTCATCTTAGAATCTTTATTGCCTTGAATAGGTCAAACAGAAAGAATTCACAAAATTAATACCTCTGAATGAATATATGAAGAAATGAATGAAGGAATGGTCTCAGTTCCTAAACTATAAATGCAAAATAGGTAGTTTCATTCCCAAAGCTAATGAATTGTGTACTTTTGTCAAGAAAGTATATGGAGTGCTGAGTGTAATGCATGCCTGCAATCCCAATGCTTGGGAGGCTGAGGCAGGAGGATCATGAGTTCAAAGCCAGCCTCAGCAACTTAGTGAGCTCTTGTCACAAAATAAAAAAAAAGGGGGGGGGGCTGAGGAGGGCTGGGGATGTGGCTCAGTAGTTAAGTATCCCTTACTCACCCCGTTACGTGCCCCCCTCAGAAAAGAAAGTATATCTACCAGTTCAGTAATCTGTGTTTTTTTGGCATATGAAAAGCACCAATAAATATTATGTGCCTTTGTCCTAGAGGAATGTAGACATGAAAATATACAAAGATTAGCATCTACTTCTAAGGATTTCATGGGCAGCCAAAAGCTCATTCTTGGACTCACAGTAAGGCCCAATGTTTGACATTTTGGAGGACTGGATCTTGCATGAAGTCAGATTTCAGTTCTATGTTCATGTTACATCAGGCCATTGCCAATACTCAAAGTAGTACTTATCTCAGGGTGAAATTTTAGAATAAGAGATCTGTGTGGAATCAAAATTGGGCAAACTGTTGGTGAATATATCCATTTCTCTGGCTCTTTGGGGCCAGGAAGAACCAGTCTTCTTTCTGCCTCTTATAAATCTGTGTCATCTATATTAAGTAGCCTGAAATAACTATGAATGCGATGTTCCTGATGAATTTAAAACCTTTAATTCCTTGACATAGATTCATTCCCAAACCTGATCCTTTCAGAGCCCACACTGGCCATTTTATTTCTACTTTGTCAGACATGAATCCAGATATGAATCCCTATAATACATAAATTAGATTGCTGGGGGGCTGTCACTAGCAGTCGCACACATCTTACTTCCTCCACAAAGTCTTTGTCTTGATATACCTCCTGATTGAGCTGGCCTTTCACCAATGGTCCTAGCAGGACATAGCGGTTACAGATATGTCCTTTCCCTATAGGAAGGTAACCCAATTCTACCTGCCCATGTTCCAAGCGACATATCCCCCATATACCAATCCCTGTAACGACTTCTATCTGGATCACCTTGTAAGACTGTTTAAAAACCACAGTAAAGGTCTGGCCTGTGAAGACATGTTGAGTCTTGAAGTACTTGAGGTCCAGAGAGTAGGCATATTCTGGGAGAAAAAAGTCTCGGAAGAACATGTCAGTGTAGATACGGGCAGGAGGATTGTTGGGCTTACCAAGCTTCTTTTTCTCTTCTTTCTCTTTGTAACAAGAATCCTCAGAAATAAAACCATTGTCCCAAGAATGGAAGAGTTTGGGAGTAAGGCTAATTGGAGCTGTCTGGCCCAAGAGGAAACCAAAATTTGTCAGAAGCAAGTGAGTGGGAGTGTCCTTGAGGAAGAGGAGGAAGAAAGAGGCCAGGTGGGAGAGGTCACTGGAGTGGAACACTTTCCCAGAGAATGTCAGGCTGGAGAATTCCAGGACCACCCAAGGGTATTCTTTCCAGGCTGATAATGCCCGAGAGATGGAAGAAACAAAATTAGGGGTGCAAAAAATATTATCATCCATCAACAGGAAGTAATCAGAGAGGTTGCTTGCAAAGTTCATGAGGAGGGCATAATCCACTTTCTGCCTGAAATAAAGTTCTTCACAGGGTGAGGATTGGTTTATGTTCCTCAATGAGGAGTCATCCAGAAGCCCGTGGACCACAAACAGGTTCTTGGCCTTAATGTGTAGTGCAAAGAGGCCTGAAATATTGGCCACTGTTTGGCTGAGCCACTCAGGGTCAGGGTCTGACAGGTGCACCAGCACCACTATAGACTTCAGCTCAGCTTCTGAGGAAACTTGGAACAGGGACTGCAGGGTGTCCAGGAGGTAGCTCCCTTGGGGGCGTTGTACTGAGGAAATGCCCACTGTCAGCAGTTCTGGGAGAGACAGGGAGACCTTTAGCACTTCAGGAAGGTGGAGAGTTCCCAGGACTCTCCAAAGACCCTCCCCTTCATGCCAATCCCTGCAACAATTTCACATTTTTTTCCCTGGGAGTGTATGGTCCAGGTGAGAGGTTACTAAGGGATCAGAAATTATAAAGTGGTTTCTTTTGTCCAGGACTTTGAAAGGATGTCGGGGAACCTTTGTGAAGGACTAGGCTATTTCTGATGCAGGAGGTCACCATGTAGCAAAGACAAATATGCTTAGCAAGACCTTGACCTTCAGAATGATCTCAGTCATCATGGGTCACTCAGACCTAGATTAGAGAACCTCCATGGACCCCTGCAAGCCCCAGGGTCTGGCAGTGCAATGTATTGGGACACAGAGCCCACACGCCCCCTTTTCCCTCTACCTGGATCTCTCTCCCAGGGCTCCCCTGGGCTCCTCTCTCATCCTGGCTTTCCTCCCTGGGGACCTGCCATGACTGAGCTTCACATGGGGTGGCTCCACCACAGGGTCACTATGGTCTTCTCATCCTGTGGGGCATTCAAGAGGTAAACAGGAGAGAGGAAAATGCACCCAGGATTGCGACCTGCTTGGAATTCCCTAGCCTGGCCCTGGCTCACAGTGCCCTCCTGTGCTTGCCAGCCACCAGCTCACTCCACTTTGCCCTCCTCCCCTTTTCTAGTTAAAATACCTTGTCTGACCTTCGCCCAGTCTGCCTGCTCCCTGCAGCCCCCATACTCACTCTTTTCCTGGGGAAGGGCTCCAGCCAGGAGTGTGTAGTTGGCATGCTGGAGTAGAGGGGAGTTTTTCTGCATCTCCCTGAAGACTTTCAGGTGGTTACTGATTTCAGAGTTGATTTGTTCCTGAACTGTCTGCTGAAGGATTTCTGTCTTTTCCATCTGAGGACAAGATAGATATGTATCAGCCATGAGGTTTATCCCCAGACCCTCTGGAGACAACTGAGGGGCACATCCCCCTTGAGGGCAGGCTGAATGAGTCCCAGGACCCAGTCACCAGGGAGAATGAATGTCAGGGCTCAGCTACCCTCTCTCTCCACCTGGTCACACCTCTCCTGAGGCCTGGGCTGGGTTCTGAGGGAGACGCTGAAGACAAGGCCTGGTCCTGTGCTCAGGGGACTCACAGCCACAGGTCAGTCTGAAGTTTGTCCTCTCGCTCAGCCTAACCACACCCAGTTCTGCACTCCTTCCCCAGGCCACCCTGTGCTTCTGTCTGGCTGGTCTGAGGCAGCCCAGACAAAATGTGGATTCCAAAGCCTCAGTGTGCCCCATGTGTGATTTGGTCTTCTCACTCATAAATGTTTACAGTGGAGAAGTTACTTCAAGTCCCTTCATGTGAGAAATGGGATGAATTACATGTCCCCTGTCAGGTCCTGGTGAGAATGGTGGCAGTAGCCCTGTGGTTGTCATTGCCTGAGGTCCAGCCTAGAAGCACAGTCCTCTAGAGGTATCTGTGCACCACCCTCTTCACCCCTAGAATGCCTCCTCCTCTCCATATCCCTATTCAGGTCCTATCCATATCTCAATGACCAGTGGAAAATGGATATTTTAAAATTATGAATTGAAAAAAGTGTGATTCAAGCTGACATGTTTCATATTTAGTGATTTTCAATGGTGTAGAAAACCCTTATGGAATTTCTGAAGGGAAGCTCTTGAAATCCTGGAGTTTCAGACAACTCCCATCCTTATCCCTTTCCTAAGGTACCTCTTTGGTAACAAATTAGCCATTGAATCTCTCCACTTCTCTGTATCTAATCTTACTTTATTTTCTCCTGGAAATTTCTCCATTTTTTTGGTCTATTCTTTTGTACTGTCATTACTGAGTTATAACAAATTACTTTTTCTCCTGATTCTTGATGGGCAGTTGACAGAAAATAAATTCTGTTTTATTTAGGAAAGTTCAATTAAAAATTTAAGTTCAATTGAAAAATTTACTTTAAAAATTCACCTCTCTTTTCTGAGAGAATTTGTAGAGATTTTAGAGTGCTCCACATAGACGGAGAGCTCAGTATTGACTATATTTATTTTCTCATTTAATACTTGAAAATTGGCTCCATTATCAGGTTCTGGTACTCACCTCAAAATGCTTATATTCACCCTGGTAGATTTTCTCATAGAGCAAGATATTCATGAGGGCCAGCAACATGATTACTATGATCCATTTCCAGTACATGTTAGTGTTAGATGTAGCTCTGAAGAGAAATATGCAGAGAAATATGCATCTTAAGTACCTTCTCCTCAGAGAAGCTCAAGGATACTCTTTCTCCTTCCACTTCTATTCCGGTGTGTGTGTGTGTCTCTGTGTGTGTGTGTGTGTGTGTGTGTGTGTGTGTGTGTGTTGTGTTAGAGATTGAACCCCAGTAGGCATGTGCTTCACCACTGAGCTACATCCCTAACCCTTTTTATTTTTATTTTTGAATTTTGAGGCAGGGTCTAAGTTGCTGAGGTTTGTCTAGAATTTGTGATCCTATTTCCTTTAAGCAGCTGGGATTATAGGCGTGCGCCACTACGCCCTGCTTCCATTTCTATTTCAAGAAATCACTGTCTTATTCTTTCCTGAGCTTCCCCCCTATACTGACACCCCTCACTCCAAGTTTTTGCCATCTTAAAATGAGAAAGACCAAGCAGGGGTCTTGATTTTATTCACTTTCTACATTCTGTATCTTCTGTATGGATGACCAGATATATTGCCATTTTTTAATGTCTATGACAGGGAGTTAACTAAAGCTGTCTTCATTCATCCAGTTAAGCTGAGGATACTTCTTAGGAAAGGTGAGGAAAAAAAAAAAAGATAGGGCATGCTGTAGAAGAGAAAACCTTTTTGGAGCTGGTATCCAACCAGAAAGGCTGTCGTACCAAACAAAGGAAACCAAAGAAGAAGGAAAAGTGCCGAGATACTCTGCAGTATTCCTAAATCTTCCACTCAACTAGAGCTGCCTTTGGGGTTTTCTAGATTCTCCTTACCTCTCCTCTATCATGCTGCCTGATTTCTCAAGCTTCAACTCAATATCTCCTTCCATGCTCATGTTTGGTTGGGTTGGTAGGATGTTTATAGTCAAGTAAATATAGTAGAATGCAAGTCCTTCATGGCAAGAACCATATTCTCCCAGAGTGACTGAGGTAGGAAGAAAATGGAAAGTAACCAGAAGTTTCTAGCCATATGAGAACCCTTACCATCACAGGAGCAGTAAGTCCTTTGGAGTGGTGGTGTCTATCTGATGACTTTCAGATCACACATACTCAAAAGGAATTAGAAGTTCCTCAGAGAGCAGGGATTTCTCTGAAACTGAAAAAGAAAATAGGCAAGGTTGAGGCCACCCAATGGCTGCAATAAGATAGCCAAACATGATCATCCTCCCCAAGAGACACCCCGTGGCAACCATTGTTCTCTCTGAATGGGGAACAGGCAGCTCCCAATCCCCACCATCACAGTAAGACCTGTTTGCAAGTGCAGGTTACTTTTGGGTGGTGACAAATTGTTGAAACCAGTTTTCTAGTAGTGGCAGAGACAGGAAGTCTCTCCAAAGATTCCATTTGCTCCCCTACATTTCCTCTCCCTCTTGCAGTTACCAAAATAGAAATCCTGTATTCAACTTTTAAATTCTGAGCAATAAATATGATAATTATAGATAAACTTTACTTGATGATGGTATTGTTTTGTTAAGAGCTCATGTTTAAAAGTACAGCCTTATGCCATAGGTCATGGCTTATCTGAGATGAAGAAATAAGCTTCCTCTTCCTCTCTCTTTTCTCCTTTTACTTTCCTGCTTCTTCCTCCATCCTTTTCTGTGGAGAATGGTGACTTGGATCATGGTCTTTGATTGCCTGTGGGCTGTGGCTTGCTGCTCTGGGACCTTTTGCGCAAAGGTGCAGGACAAGATTTGCCCAGTTGCTATGGTGATGCTCAGCTTGAGGAAGTTCTGTGCAAGGCATGGAATTGTATCAGTCTTGACCTTGAGTTTAGATACAGTGGCCAGGGATAGAGAATTACGAGGCTAACTAGATAATTATAATTGCTTGCAAGAGTTTCGACCTTCAAGCCGGCCTGCTTTGAAGAAACTTTTCCTCAGAAAGCCTTTTTATAATAAAACCTATATAATACATGTGCTGAGCTAGCTCTGAGTCATTGTTCCTCTATCAGAGGACCATGTCACACCTGGTCCCAGCTTTCTCTCTGTAAGTGTTCTTAATCCCCTAGCACCCCTTGCTGGTTTCTAAGGTTCAGCTGTGCAGATGGGGGCACTTTTCCTTCTCAGTTAAAAAACAAAACAAAACATTTCCTTATCCTCTTCCCTCTTTTAACCAAAATATTTTTTGGGGGGTGGGGTGGGTACCGAGGATTGAACTCAGGGGTGCTTGACCACTGAGCAATATCCCAGCCCTATTTTGTATTTTATTTAGAGACAGGGTCACACTGAGTTGCTAAGCACCTCGCCATTGCTGAGACTGGCTTTGAACTTGTGATCCTCCTGCCTCAGCCTCCCGAACTGCTGGGATTACACGCGTGTGACACCGTGCCTAGCCCAAAATACTTAAAAAAATTTTTTTTTAGTTGTAGATGTACAAAAGCATATTTTTATAATAAGCATTTTAAATTTTTTTCATTTATATTTAACAGTGGATTGCATTACAATTCTTATTACATATATAGAGTTCAATTTTTCATATCTCTGGTTGTATACATAGTACACTCACACCAATTTGTGTCTTCATACATGTACTTTGGATAATAATGATCATCACATTCAACCATAATTAATTACCCCATACCCTCTTCCTTTCCCTCCCACCCCTCTGCCCTATCTAGAGTTCATCTATTTCTCCCATGCCCCTCTCCCTATCCCATTATGAATCAGCTTCCTTATATCAAAGAAAACATTTGGCATTTGTTTTTTTGGCTAACTTTACTTAGCATTATCTTCTCTAACTCCATCAATTTACCTGCAAATGCCATGATTTTATTCTCTTTTATTGCTTAGTAATATTCCATTGTGTATATATGCCACATTTTTTTTTATCCATTCATCTACTGAAGGGCATCTAGGTTGGTTCCACAATTTAGCTATTGTGAATTGTGCTGCTATAAACATAGATGTGGCTGTGTCCTTGTAGTATGCTCTTTTTAAGTCCCTTTTTTTTTGAGAGAGAGAGAGAGAGAGAGAGAATTTATTAATATTTATTTAGTTCTCGGCGGACACAACATCTTTGTTTGTATGTGGTGCTAAGGATCGAACCCGGGCCGAACGCATGCCAAGCAAGTGTGCTACCGCTTGAGCCACATCCCCAGCCCCTGTTTTTAAGTCCTTTGGGTATAAACTGAGGAGTGGGATCACTGGGTCAAATGGTGGTTCCATTCCCAGTTTTCCAAGGAATCTCCTTACTGCTTTCCAGATTGGCTGCATCAATTTGCAGTCCCACCAGCAATGTATGAGTGTGTCTTTCCCCCTACATCCTTGCCAACACTTATTGTGGTTTTCAAGAGCTGCCATTCTGACTGGAGTGAGATGAAATCTTACAGTTGATTTGCATTTCTCTAATTGTTAGAGATATTGAACATTTTGTCATATATTTGTTGATTGATTGCATATCCTCTTCTGAGAAGTGTCTGTTCAGTTCCTTGGCCCATTTATTGATTAGGTTGTTTTTTTTAGTGTTAAGGTTTTTGAGTGCTTTGTATATCCTAGAGATTAGTGCTCCAAATGATGTGCTTGTAGTAAAGATTTGCTCCCATTCTGTAGGCTCAATATTCACCCCACTGATTGTTTCTTTTGCTGAGAAGAAGCTTTTTAGTTTGAATCCATCCCCTTTATTGATTCTTGATTTTAACTCTTATGCTATAGGAGTCTTATTAAGGAAGTTGGGGCTTAATCTGACATGATGGAGATTTGAACCTACTTTTTCTTCCATTAGGCGTAAGGTCTCTGGTTTTATTCCTAGGTCCTTGATCCACTTTGAGTTGAGTTTTGTGCATGGAGATAGATAGAGATTTAATTTCATTTTGTTACATGTAGATTTCCTGTTTTCCCAGCACCACTTGTTGATGAGGCTATTTTTTTCTTCAATATGTTTTTGGCACCTTTGTCTAATATGAGATAATTGTAATTATGTGGGTTTGTCTCTGTGTCCTCTATTTTGTACCATTGGTCTACAGGTCTATTTTGATGCCAATACCATGTTATTTTTATTACTATTGCTGTGTAGTTTAGTTTAACTTCTGGAATAGTAATGCCATCAGCTTCACTCTTCTTGCTAAGAATTGCTTTGGTTATTCTGGGTCTCTTATTTTTCCAACTGAATTTCATGATTGCTTTTTTTATTTCTATGAGGAACATCATTGGGCTTTTTATTGGGATTGCATTGAATCTGTAGAGTGCTTTTGGTAGTATGATCATTTTGACAATATTAATTCTTCCTATCTAAGAACAAGGTAGATCTTTCCATCTTCTAAGGTATTCTTTAATTTCCTTCTTTAGCATTCTGTAGTTTTTTATTGTATAGGTCTTTCATCTCTTTGTTGATTACCAAGTATTTTGTATTTTTTTT